GTTTACGTAATCAGCGCAGCGCCAGTGACCGAAGTCAACAAGAAGTAGTGGCAAGTATTAATCGCAGGTAACCAGTGGTTATAAATGTAATATTAACCCATCATAGCCCTTATGATGACCTCCACACCTAACGTAGGCTTTCCCAAGACCGTGTTCTAATTCATTTATTCAATAGGTCTAATAAATGGTTTAACAATATTGGATTTTTAATGTGATCTTTGACCACAGACTGACACCTGTGAAAGCTGAAGGATTCAGCACTGCCTTAGACTCTACTTTGTACGATTAATGTACTTACACAGCATAGGAAAGTAAAATGTCCCAAACAAGTGGCTGTACAGACGAGCCCCCTGTCTGTCCTGACTGGAGGAGCTCACCCAGCTGTGTCTGGAGAGAAGCCAGGGTATCGACTTCAACCAGAGGGCTGGGCAGCTTGTTCCCCACCCCCACCCCCCTCTGTGTACAGAAGAGCCCTTCATTTTACTTTTCATTGACCTGTGTGTTCATTACGCAAAGTGTCTGTTCCTCCGATCCCACTGTTACCAGTTTTAAACTGGAGCAGGAACGGACAGCCCTGCTGTAAGGAAAACCAGTTTCTGTTGCAGTGGTGTTGTTGGGCCAGTAGGTGGCTCTCTACGCCAAGCAACACCGATGGACTGACGAGCTGGGTTGTCCCGTCAGTAAGAGTGCTCATGACTTGAGAGATTTGTGAGTGGCAACAGTAGACGCCAGTATCTTGCTTTTATTTTTGAGACAAGTGCCTAAAAAATAAATAAATTACAATGTAGAAAATAAGGCAGATGGGCCAAATATAGGCAGCCCAGAGTTCACGTCTCATTTGCTAACTCAATTCACAGTACTGTACTCTCAGCTCTTACAGGTGATGCTCTGATTTACTGCAAACTGGTGTGTGTGTGTGTGCATTTGTGAGTCTGTGTGTGTTGTGCGTATGTGAATGTGCGTGTATGTTCATTTGTGTGTGTGTGTGTGAGTATATGAGTCTGTGCATTAGTGTGTGCAAGTGTTCGAGTGTGTGTGTGTGCACGCGCCTGCGTGTGTGTGTGAGTGATTGTATGAGTGTGTGTAAGTGTACTGTATAAGTATTGTATGTGTGTTTGTGAGTGGTGTAAGTGTATGAGTGTGTGCGTGTGAATCTGTGTGGGCATTTGTGAGTCTGTGTGCATTGTGCATATGTGAACATGTGTGTTTGTTCATTTGTGTGTGCGTTTATGAGTGTGTGTGTGTGAGTATATGAGTCTGTGCAAGTGTTCGAGTGTGTGTGTGTGCACTTGCGAGTGTATGCGAGTGTGTGTGTGTGTGGCCTCTATCTGCGTCACCTGCAGGGCTGACAGAGCTGAGCTACTGCACAGGATACAGGCTGTGGCTTCCTGTCAGTGCAGAAGTACATCACGCAGGGGGTCTGCAAAGCACCTCCGTGTGCTGTGTTGAATTCGCTTCTCATTTCGGTTTGCTGGCGAATGTAGACAGTCCACATATCAACAGCTTCCAAACTACTGCATTCCCGGTGTGGACAAATATCGCAGAACAATCAGGTTAAGTCTGACTGAATCTCCTGATTCAAGCGATATCTGTGTCCAGAGGGCTGGGATCTTTCCCGAACAGTAACATTAAAATTAATAAACACAGTGCAAGAGGAAGA